GACAGATTCATCAGTAGATTTGACACAACTGTGGAAAGAATCATTGAACTTGAAGACGGGTCACAGAACTTACCTGAACTGAAGCTCAAAGTGACTCTTTCAGATAAAACTAAGATAAATTCATTGTCAACACTCCTGCACCTCAAGAAATGTGAAAGGAAACTCTCCAGCAGAAGGAATGTGATACCAGACAGAAACATGGCTCCACACACACAAAAGGAGATTCCTGGAAATGGTTGAAATAAAGGTGTTATAAAGCCATTTTTCCTTATTTTTGCTGTTCTAAAAGACAATTGGCTTTTTAATATACAAATAGCAATGTTTTGGGGCTAATAGCATGCAAAAAGTAATATATGTGAAGAATTTTAAGAGTGGAGAAGGGAAGAATTGTGGCACTATTTTCATGTTTTTACACTCTACATGAATTGTATATTATTTGAAGGTAGACTTTATTTATTTTTTTAAAGATTTCATTTATTTATTTTAGAGAGGGGAAGGAAGGAGAAAGCAAGGGAGAGAAACATCAGTGTGCAGTTGCCTTTCATGCACCCTTTGTTGGGGACCTGGCCCACAACCCAGGCATGTGCCCCGACTGGGAATCAAACCAGTGACCCTTTGGTTCGCAGGCCGGCACTCAGTCCACTGAGCCTCACCAGCCAGGGCGAAGGTAGACTTTATTAATTAAAGTTATATACTCTAAATTCTGGGGCAACTACTGAAAAATTTAAAATGGAGTTAAGAATAAGCCAATAAGAAGGAAGAGGGAATCATAAAAAAGAAAATCCAAAACGTAAAAAGAGGGACAAAGGAACAATGAATAGGTGGAACATGTAGACAACAACCAGCAAAATGGCAGGCTTTAATCTAAAGCTATCGATGATTATATTAAGTGTAAATGGTTTAAATACTTTGAATAAAAAATAGAGATTGTTCAGATTTTATATGAAAAAAGGCCTAACTAAATGCTATCAATAAGAAACCCACTTTTAATATATAAAGACTTTGGTAGATTAAAGGTAACAGAATGGAAAAAGTACAGAGTGCCAATACTAAGCAAAAGGAGGCTGGAGTGGCTATATACAGGGAGGGGCAAATGTAGGTTTACAGTTTTGAATATGCACAACACAGTTTATTCTTGTATTATTTATTTATTATTGTATTATTTGTCATGTGAACAACTGTAAACCTACTTTTGCCCCAACCTGTAAATATCAAGCATAATAGCCTTCTGAATAGAGTATTACCTACAATAAAGATGGATATCACAATATCATGAAGAGATCAGTTCATGAAAAGACATAACAATTCTAAATGCATATGAATATAACAGTAGCATAGACATGTATATATATGCATATGGGCATATACATATATATACATATATCAAACACTAATAGAACTGAAAGGAGAAATAGCCAAATCCACAAGCACAGTTGAAGCACAGCATTCATCTCAGTAATACATAGAATCAGTAGAGAGAGAATCAGTAAGGATAGAAGACCTTTACAGCACTATCAGCTAACTTGGCCTAATTGGCAGTATACCACTCCACTGAACACTAGCAGAATATACATTTTTTAAAAGGTTTTATTTATTTATTTTTAGACAGAGGGGAAGAGAAGGAGAAAGTGAGGGAGAGAAACATCTGTGTGGTTGCCTTCTGTGCTTCCCCACTGGGGACCTGACCCGCAACCCAGGCATGTGCCCTGACTGGGAATTGAACCAGAGACTCTCTGGTTCACAGGCCCATGCTCAATCCACTGAGCCACACCAGCCAGGGCTTAGAATATACATTTTTTAAGTACATGGGAACATTCAGTTAGGTAATTTTTGGTATAATAAAACAAATACAGAAGAATCAGAATAATACAAAGTATTGTCCCTCACCAAAACAAAAATAGACTAGAAATCACTTCACAGAAAAATAACTGAAAAATTCCAAGTATTTGGAAATTTACAACAAACACATCTGTAGAAATCATGGGTCAAAGAAGAAATAACAAGGAAACTTGGGAAATCTTTTGAACTGAATGAAAATGAAAACATAACATCGACATTTGAAGGGATGCAAACTTAGGGAGAAGTTTATATTATTTGATGCTTACAGTAGAAAAAGAAGAAAGGTCTTCAATCAATCATCTAACTGTGTATTTGAACAACTAGAAAAGGAGAGCAAAGTAAATCCAAATCAAACAGGAAGAAAATAATCAAGGGCAGAAATCATTGAAATCACAAACAAACAAACAAAAAAAAGAGCAGACTATCAATGAAACCAAAAGATGTTCATCGAAAAGATCAATAAAATTGACAAGTCCTTTAGCCAGCCTGACCAAATAAAAAGAGAAAGCACAAATTACCAATTTCAGGAGTGAGAGGAACAGCACTACAGATCCTACAGAAATTAAAATGATAAATACTATTTTGAATAACACGTGGTAGCATGTCAGAAGGACACTGGAGCAAGGCTGGTGAGAGTTCTACTGACCAAGTCTACGACCACCTGAACACCAAAGTAATTCTATAAAGTAATGAATTATAAATCATTGAAAATTAAAATAGAATGTATGGTTCTGCATTGATAATAGATTGCTAATGGAGAAGGGAGGTCTCTTGCTTAGAGAAGAATGCTGAGTGGTGACTGTAAATATGGAGGGAACACTGGAGTTGGAACGTTATTACTTTGCAACCATAGTAAAGGTTGATTCAAAGAGAGGACACCAATCGATGTTAAATTTGGGTAGACATTTAGATGAAAAGCAGGACATGTACATGGTCTTCAAGATGGACATCAGTGATACGTGATGTCCTTAGAAGTACACAACACCAATCAGGGAGTATTCAGGCTGGTGATGTAACCTGAACAAAGTCTAAGGAGACTGAGTATACCATTGCCTCATTGTGATGGTCATTCTCCTTACGATGTGACTTTCAGAATTTAGGTTAAGTTCTCTGAGGTATCTTCAAATACTTAGCTCTTCTCTGTCTGAGTCCAGCTAAACCAAGCTCACTCAGTTTTGTTCCAGAGCCCACCTGTAACCAATGAGGTGTATTATTACCTTTTGACAGAAATGAACCTCATGTGTCTTGGAGAGATGGTGCCAATGTGCACCCTAAAGCCTGTGGTAAACCATGGCCTCTCAGGTGATACTGCTTTCTGGGTTTGGATCTGCTCTTTAACTTTCTGTTTAGAAGTCATCTTAGACTTAGAGAAAAGTTATAACAATAAGAAGAATACAGTGATCACCTATGTTCTTCATCCAGATTTACCTACTGTTGATATTTTACCTTGTATGTTAGCTGGCTAATACATTTTTAAAATTAAATTTTTCTTTCTTCACTCTACAAGGGTATTCCCCCCATCTCCACCGCCACTTCTTAGTTATGTGATACATTCTAGAGAGTCTTCAAAACTGTGGAGGGTGTATATATTTTCATTTCGAAGCCCAGATCCGTCTTGCCTCCTGTGTGTGGTTTCACCAGCAGTGTTATAATCAAGGCAGCCTCTAATGTATCTGTGAATGATAATACTGAGAATTTCTGTAGTGGTGGAAGAATTTATGTGCATTCTGGTAAAAAGTACTTGTTGTTGGGGGAGGGTGGAAGTTGTCGACTTAAATGTCTTCTGAATTCATTGGGGGTGAAGATTGGGGAGGAATTATATTGGGGCTAAAGAAGATAAGTGGTGTTCCTTTATTAAGTTTTATTTTAGAGACAGGGCTGTCATTTCAGTATAGTTGAGAAAAAAGATCAGGGTGCTTAGAACTATGTTGATAAAATTACTCAAGTTGGTAAACTTAGTGCTGACACACAAACTCCTTTGGTCAATTAACCTACTTGCTCCTCCCTGTAGGAGATGTGCAGTAGAGTTTAGGGCACCTTTTCTATTGGGTCCCAGTTCATGAAACTTAACACCTTTGTAGGATCTAGAACTTGGTGTATCAGGGTCCAAGACTGCTTCTCTGTGCTTCAGGGCTGCTGGATTATCAGGCCTGGAGCTTCAAGAATGTAAGACTCTCTCACTTTCTTAGAGTAGAAAGTTGTAAAAGGATTTTATGACCACATAAATAGAAATGGAAGTTCCAAAACTTGATATAAGTACAAAAATCAGGCCTATTAACACAAATATTAATCATTGCAGTGCTAAAGCAAACACTTAAAGGAAATTAAATGTCCTGTACTGGGATTAAGTTCTGGCGTATCAGAATGTGGAATAGTCATATAATTCACATCCATGGAGTTGAATTTTATACAACCATTAAACATTATAACTCAGACTACCTGTCAACATGTGAAAATGCTTGTGACATAATGTGGAAAAACCAGAATATACATTTCTTGTACACTGGGATTGTAACTAAAACTACTTGTACTTACGAATAAGGTACATAAAAAACTATTTATATTTATGAACTATATTGTAGTAGTCAAATACAAGTAATTTTTCCTGCTCTGCTTTTTGTATTTTTAGTAATGTTGCACTATAGCTTTTTTGGTTGAACAGAAATTGACCCTTTTTAAAAAGATGAACTTTATCTGTTCAAGCAGTTTTAGATTCACAGCAAAACTGGCCCCAACACATGCACAGCCTCCCCAGTGTCAGCATCCCCCACTGGAGAGGTACATTTGTTATAACTGATGAGCCTTTGGTGAATCGTTATCATCATCCAGAGTCCATAGCCAGTGTTTTAAAAAATGAAGTTGTTTGAATTATGAAATCTCACCACAGTTTATTGGTCAGCAATCCAGAACTCTGTAGGCAGGGAATCTTAGACTCTTACTCTCTAACACCTGCTAGAGGCTAGACTTTTGTAAAAATTGAACCAATAGGTAAATTTATTCTAGTTAATCTCCCTGGAAGACCTCTGTACCCAAGCCCCTTTGCCTTTTAGCTCTTTATTTCCCTTTCATAGCCAAAGCCCTGGGCTGTGCCTGTTGGTGGTGATTGAGCATCTCTCTCTGCACTATTACATCAGAAATTGTCTTCTTCCATCCCTCTCTAGGAAGTACATTTTCAGCTGAGCACCTTAAGCTTCAACTCCAGAAGGAATCCTTAAATGAGTTGAGGAAGGACTGTACTGCAAAAAGGTAAATGAAACTCAGAATAATTGTTGTGAGTGTCGAGTTTACTTTGAGGATAGGGTTTGGAGAAGTAAGACTCTTTGAAAGTCACTGTCACTAATTTATAATCCACACAGCTCAATGCCATATTCATTTTTTCAACAAATATTTATTAAGCACTTACTATGTGTCATGCACTGCGCTAGACGTAGTTTTTAGAGCTCCTGGTATATACTATAGTCAGAAAGGAGAACACTATTCTAGTTTCCAAGGCCAAGCACCATGACGTGATGTCTTAATTTTCTCCTCTTCTTGTCTTCCAAATGTAGTGTAGTTTACCCTTTTTTCATCAATAATTTCTTTAGATTTACTCCTCTTTAGTGTAGGCTCCTTTGAATTACCGCAACAGCTCCTAGATTATCTCTGTGACTCATTCTCTCATTCTTTCCATTTTATCCTCTGTGTTGCTCTCAGATGTCTCCTCTTAAAACCCTATTGTTACTGTATTTTTTTTCTCTTCTTAAGAGCCCATGGTGTTGTTTTGCTTAACTTTCAAAGAACCTTCAATGATCTGCCACTATACAGCTGTAGCCAATTTCAGTTACTCCACAACATTCACTTAACAAATGCTAATGGTTTTTCTGCTTATTTTTTCCAGCACATGCTTAATTTCTTGCCTGCTCTGGTCTATTGCTCATCCTTACTCATTTTTTTGTTCCAGGGAAGTCATTTCATCCTACATTTTCTTTCAAAAAAACCTTAGCAATTGAGGATTCAAAAACATTAGACCTTAGAAAGGACCTTGGATTTCATCTAGTCCAATCCTCTCACTCTGCAGATAGGAAAGCAAGGCTTGGGAAGTCACTCTTTGTCCAGCCCACTAGGAAAGCAGGAGTGGATCCCTGAATATCTTTGGTGCCATTTGCATTATATCACACAATTATGTTTCTGTTCCGTTTTGACCTATAGCTTCTCCTAAATTTCTTTTTTTTTTTTTCTTAAAATTGTTAACACAGTTGAGCAGATAATTTGTTCTGTAGGTATTTTGTCTGTTGTTTATGTTTCTTAAGGGGTTCAAAAAGTGATTCATCTCATGCCACAGGTTTTTGCTTGTTTGCTCTTTTCTTTTGTTAGTTTTCTAACATGGCAGCAGGTTTTCTTGAGGTAGTTACAGCTGTACGTGTAATTAAAAAATAAGATACTTTTTCTGAAATCAAATGGCATCAGATTAAGTGAGGCATTGGTTAGCTTACTGATCTTCTTTAAATCTTGTTTTCTTGTTTGTAAAATAGATATAATAATATCAACCTAATAGTCTTGTTATAATAATTAAGCAAAGCCATTTGTAAAGTTTCCAGATATAGTACAATAGTAGGTGCTCAGTCAGTAATGATTTGTACCCTTTACATCTCTTATCCTGGTGCTGGGCCCACACACAATAGGCCTTAGCATGTATCTAGTTAGCTCCATTGATAGTATTTAGAGATAGGTCAGGACTCAGGTTAGATACTATTCCTGCCGCTACTTCTAAGTTTCTGTGCCCTGCTGCAGACCATGTGATCTTTTTTCCATGTCAATTACGTGGAAATAAACATTTGAAAGTATGTAAGCATATTCTTTAATAAATGAATGTTTTTCTCTTCTCCTTAGAGAACTCTTTCTGAAGACTAATGCTCAGTTGACAATTCGCTGCAGGCAGTTACTGTCTGAACTTTCCTACATTTACCCCATTGATTTGGTAAGTTTCACATTTTCTGGGGAAAAAAAGCTTTTTGAAAAAGGTGATTTATATTTGAAATTTTGTCTCAGTGAAAAAACTTATTGCTCTAGTCTTAGTTCTATGCCCTGTCATAGTTTCATTCGGGAGCTAATACCTGCTTTAAAAGTAGATTTAGACTTAGTTGATATTAGGTTCCACCATTTGAATTTTTATACCAATTTGTTGAAGGGATACACTCCTTTTCATCTGAAAGAATACCAAATTATTTTGGGTTTCTTTAGGATCTTTCCAGTCAACCACATTATCAACTACAATCATTTCTGATGCATAAATGCTGATACATGTGCTCTGCTTTAAAAATATAACTGCTGATTAATATATATTTATTAGTATTACTTCAGATATTGCTGTCAGGATGTTAAGTTTTTTAATCTAGTTTCTTTGAGTAAGTGCAAAAAGTAAAACTTTAATAAAGCTGATTAGACTGTTTCTTAGAGAACCAGATCTGCTAAATTTGATGTTTTTTTTTAAATGAAGACACAAATTTTTAGTTTAAAAGACTAATTTTCTCAGAGGAAAGTTAATAGGATTTTAGATTACTCATAGAATCTTGTTAATTCTATTTAAAATTTTTATTTATAGGTATCAATTGGTGAAAGGATATTTTTATGATAAAAGTTTTACATGGCTTATTGTTTAGATATGATATATGATAGAAATTTCAAGTATAGTATAGAAAATTATAGAAAAATTCAAGAATATGTAAATGTACAGATAGTAGCATAATAAATCATCATGGACTCATCATCCAGCTTCAACAGTTATGGAAATATTTTAAGTCTAAGACAGTATTATCTTTGAGTTAACAATGACCTGCTGAATTCTTTGAGATCTGACTTAGTGTTTCTTTGCTTTACACATTAAAAGAATTAATTGCATTTTTTGGTCATCTTCACAGAATGAACATAAGGATTATTTTGTATGTGGTGTCAAGTTGCCCAATTCTGAGGACTTCCAAGGTATTTTATTTCTTTTTACTTCTGAAGATTTGGTGCCTATAGTAAGTATATGGGCATGTGGCAGGGAAAAGAGAGATACCTTGAAATGTTGGTTGCCCAGCACTTTCCCTAGAAGGGTGTTTGGCCCCTCTGTCCCTTCACAGTTGTAAGTATGTAGAATCAGTTTCCCTGATAGGAGACTTAAAGGAATATTTGGTCTAATCCTGGAAAAAAATTATTGAACTTCATATTTGAAATTTAAAAGAAAATAGTTTTTAAAGGGGCTTTAAGAAAATTAGACAGCGGGGTTCTTAAGAATACTAATAACCTCCCTATCCTTTGGTTAGATTTTCATGAAAAATATGTGTGTGGTTGGAAGCAGAACAACACACACTAATCTGTTCTGTTGTTATTTAGAAAATCATATTTCCACTAATGTGAAATATATTTGAAAAATCTATTTAATTTTGTGACATTCCCACTACAACTGATTAAACTTGTTATTCTATTATTTTTGTTCTCCTTTAATTAAAAAATTACATTAAAGATAGACTATGATTCATAGTAATTGCTAAGTTTAAAACATTTTAATTTTCCTAGTCTCTTTACCAGGATGCCAAAGAAAACAACTTATTTTACTTGTCAATAAAAGTTTGGTTTTTTGTTTGTTTGTTTGTTTTTACGTTTTGCAAAGTGAGTTTTTCCCTCCTTAGTCTAAACAAGGCTTTGAGGCCTGTTAAATAGCTATATAGATTATTTTCAAAGCTAGCATGTTATCTATTTGGACAGAAGTTATTCAAGAATAGAACATTACCAATTTTCCTATTTTGATTGGGACTTTCTTCCAATTCCCTGTAAAGAAAGTGTTATTTATGGTCCTTTAACATTTAAGGCTGTTTTAACTTACTGCCTCTACTGGCCTGTACAACAACCCTTACAACAAGTACCTGGGGCACAAAAAAAAAGATGAAACAGGAATGGGAAAACCCGCATTCACTCCTGGTTCACCGTCTAAAAACCATGTAATTTGGAGCAAGCCATCTAAACTTTGAGTTGTTTTGCTAATTAGTAGTATGAACGTATTAATTCATGTCCTGTGCATTTTACATGACTGCTGTGAAGATTACATCTATAAAGCATGACATTTTGTCTTATCTTTAATCCTCACAAAAACAAACAAAGGAAACGCAGAAGGAAAATGGTATAATCTCATTTTACAATGTGTAAATGAGCTATTTAGTGATTTGCCAGAGACCACAAAGCTAGGTAATGATCTAGCTGGGATTTGTCTGGTTTTCATTGTACAGCGTTCCTTCCCATCTCTGTAAGTCGTGCAGATGTGCTTTAGTGTTGACTTTAGGTAAAGTTATGGTGTCTTAAAGCCCACAACACATCTCGGTCCTCATTCATCTATTTAACAAAGCTACTGAGTACCTCGAGCCCTGTGCCAGGTGCCAGGGATACAGAACATTCATTCATTGAAAAAAATATTGAGCCAAGCACTGGCTCAAGATATGATGATGGTGATGGAAAAAACAGCACCATCATAGATATGAGTTTTGAAGATATAATGATGGAAAAAACAAATATGTTCTCTCCTTTCATGGAGCATACACAGCCTGTTGAGCCAATAATGAATAAATAAGTATTTAAGAAGAAAATATGCAATCATAGACAATAGGGGAACCTACTTTAGATAAAGCAGAGAACCGTCTGTGGAGAAACATTTGACAGAAAATTTGAAGGCTGGAAGGAAATAACTATACCACAGTTGTGGGGGAGCATTACTTAGAAGAGGGAACAGCAAGTAAAAAGGTCAGGTTGGAGGAATGGGCTTGACGTATCTTTAAAAAACTCACGGTGTTGGGGCCATGGGAGGAAAGCCCTATATTTCGGGCAGTCATGTAATCTCTCAGCTTAATTTCTTCACCTGTAAAACAAGGTAATATCTACATCTCCAACTCATTGTGATGATTGAATGAGATAACATTTGAAAATGCTTTTCATATAAAAGGCGCTCATAACCATAACAATGCAATTGAAATTAGTTGCAAGAGAGAGGAAGGGAAAGGACAGAAAAGAGCAGGCCAGGCCTGTGTTTGTCCGGGGCACGGTGAGGCAGGGGAAGGGTTGCATCGAGGAGGTACGAGAGGTCAGCCAAGGCTGTGAGGCCGCTGTCCGAGTTTACATTTTATTCTCAGTCGAGTGGGAAACTCCTGAAAGACTCCAAGATGGGGGATGATGTGAGCTGACTGATGTTTTTAAGTTACTCTGGCTGCTAAATACAGAAGGCTTTGAAGGGAGACCGGGAGGGAAGCAGGGATATCAGTCCCAGTGAACTGTCACCTCAGCCACTCTGGATGTTTCTTGATTCTGGTTTTTTTTCTTTGAAGTTGTTTGTTTCCTAGTTTTTTATAGCTTTTATCAGCTATCTGTGCTTTGTGTATACTTAGCGAGCTGAATAAAGTCTTCCTACTCTTTAAGAAGTAGGGTTTGCTTTTTAATGCAGTTGCTGAAAAGGGAAATGGGAGATGAAATGAAACAAATGTTTACTTTTACTCTAGGCCCTGTTCCCCATGACTCCTAGGAACCAGAAATTTTAAGTAGCACCTAGGGTAGCACTGGACTTGAAAATGTTGCATTAGCAATTGGCAAGGCCTTCCGCACACTAAGTTTGCCGAGTGTCCCGTGTGTGTCACCTCCCGTGCGGGGGGCACAGGGCCCACAAAGATGATTAGGACCCTGATCCTGCCCAGTGAGGTTTCAGTCCCCTGAGGCCATCAAACCTGTAATGGAGCCAACACAAAATACTGATTGAATTCATACTCTGCATCAGGCACTTAGATGTTTATACCAGGTAAGGGGGCTCAGAGAAGTGGGAGCAATCCGTTCTAGAAGGAGGGACTCGGCAAAGCCTTGCCAGCAGAGATGATGGTTGAGGTGTCTTAAAAATGAAGCATTATTTCCCTGCTGAGAGAAGGGAAGGAGGACATTTTTAGATTGGGTGAGTAGAAATACGGTAACACGAAATATCATGCACGGTGCTGTCTTGTTTATTAATTCTTCTGTGAGGCAAAGAATGCACTCCACTTTTTTTCTAAAGACAAGCAAATCGAGGCTTAGCGAGATCAGTTCATTTTTCCAAAGATTCATACCAACCAGTGTCCGAACTCGAGTCGTCCCTGGTCAGCCCGACGTGAAGGTCCGAGTTATTCCCGTCGGTCATGATGCAGTTTTCCCCTTGTTCTGTGTCATTGCCTCGTCTGGACTCCTGACGGCTTTTCGGCGTTCTGTAGCAGACGCACTCTTGGTGTGCCTCTAGTGAAGGAATTCCAAACCGGTTACTCTGTGGTGCTAACGAGACCATGCTGGGGTATACTTTACATCGCATCGGGTAACAATACTGTTTGGGGAACTTCTCCATAGTGGCCCAAAATTTACTGCACTCTTCTAACTGGGGGAGTTACTGTAAGAGTATGTCAGAGAGACCTGGACACAACCAGAGTAAGTTGTCTGATGAAGGGTATTCATCTGAGTTCCTTTGACAGAGACATTTCTTGGGGGGAAAAAAAAATGTTTGTGTGTGTTTTTAAGTAATCCATAACACCAGAGCCTTTTGTGTTAATGAGACCCAGATTTCCTTCTGTGTCTGTATCCCTTTATGCAGGCATAATTTCTTGGAGAGTCCATATGTCAAACAGTGTCTCATTGAGAACATGGAATGATTCCATAGATGCTGTGGCAATGATTAGAGTCTTAAATATTTTATCCTGTCTGGATCAGTGGGTGCTTGGTTCCTTAACAAATCAGCTGCCTCAGGGATTGGGAAGGCAGGATGGTAAGAGCTTTCAGATCACTTATTGTACTTGGATGCATTTGAATATTAATAGTTTGTCCAGCATAAAAGTCAAAGGGATGTTTGAATTAATTTATAATGTTGTCACGGAGATTGTGTGTTTGTGGAATTTATTATCGAAAAAGTTACACAAAACCTGCAGCACTGAGTACCAGCACTTAAAAAACAAGTCAGAAATATTTATCATAAGGAAACTGGAGATTTTTTGTTTTGTTTGAAGCCACTTAAAACATTGTTTTAATCAGGGTTGGGTTTTTTTTTTTTTTAACATACCTGAGTCTTAACAGTTTATTCCTGTTCCTCTCTGAAACCTTTCACTTGGCCTCCACCTTCTCACCAACAAAACCCTCACCTGTGACCTTTCTAACCCCAGAACAACGTAAGGAACACAAACCTCTGCTCCGCATTAGGTGTTGGGGACGTCATTAATGCTTACTGGAAAAGTACACCCCAGAGAGCAGGGTTTTGGCTTTGGCAGGTAAAAAATCTTTTAGATCTTGGAATGCTGGAAACCTTAAACCTTTTGGTTTTTTAGCTAAAGTGATTGGCAACAGAATGTGACATCTGAGGTTTTGTGGCCAGCAATAGCCATAATTAACCACATGAGCTCACATTTTCCCACTGGAGGTTCAGTGGTCTTGGGGTGATGAAAGTGACTTCCCTACCAGGAGGTGGTTTTCCTTTTGAGGATATTGGAATACCCTTGGGCCCTGTAATGCCTCACCCGTGGTCCCTTTAAAATGTTTTTTAATATAAAGCTTCAATATTGGAAATCCAACACCACGGTGTTTAACAGCGAGGCTGTGACTGAGCACTACGGCCTAGAAGGGGAATCAACCTGGGGTTTTAATAGGTGGAACCAGGGGTCTTGTGGTGGAAACGATGATGAGTGTGAATAACTGGAATCAAAGCCGATTTCCAGTGTTATCCAGTTTCCAATTCTTGCCATTTCATTTTGGTTTTTGATGTACATGTATAGGCTTCTCAGAGATACCTTTTCATCATTAAATATGAGCAAAATTGTTTTGAGCGTTGAAAAGAGGTGATGTTATAAGACCAGCTTTTGTTCTTTCAGCAGATAGGTGGATGTAGGCTCAAAATATGCAAATGTAGTTCTTTAGTATTACCCCTTTAGTAATATGGAAAAATGTAGGTGCTTAAGTGTTTAGCATTGCATAGATTTTTTAAAAAAACATTTATAGTTTGCATTTGACCTATTTGGGAGACTAATTAGGAGCCCTTCTCTTGCCTCTGTCAGGTCATGTAGGACAGGAAAAGCTTAGTGTGAAGCACATACAGGAAAGTCCAAACCCAGAGTGTTACTATCCTTCATTACCGTAAGTCCTCTTTATCTTCTTTCCTTTCTAAAGCAGGTTCTTAAAGACGGAGTCCTTAGGGTATTTTAAACTTGATAAACCTTCCTCTTCACAGAAAGTAGGAGGCTAGATTCAGCCACCTTTGTTCCAGCTGTGACCCCAGGGATAGGTATTTTCGGGGCCAGGGTATAGACGCACTTCTGCCTCCTGTTCCATCACTCATGGTTTTTACCTATATGGCTCTGACCAAGTCACTTTTATTGCCTAGGTCTCTCTTTTTTTTTTTTTTTTGGTCTCTGAATGGATAGCATTAGAATCAGTGATTTAAGGCTTCTCCTAGTTCTAATATTATATGATGATTAAATTGTAATGTGATCAATTTACAGTGTAATGTAATTTTAGTCTCTAAGGTGGTGTGATATACAGATTTCAATAGAAATAAAGTGTAGTATTGAAGGTACTTGGGTGGGACTGGAGCAAGAGGACAGGGTCTCTAAAAACAGGATTCAAAGATAGTTAGATTCTAGTCAGTCAGGGCATGACTCAGTACTGTAATTTGAAATGAGTGCTGTTAGATTTTTTTCATCAGTTTGATTTGAGAGAACATCAGACATTAGTTGAGAAGCTCGTTCTCTGCCTGGCACTACACAAGTTGCTGAGGCCTCACAGAATGTGTTCTTTGCCATTACTAGAAAAGAGTGAAGAAACTAAGGTAGCATGTGTGCGTCGTACGCTTGGTATGCTCTCGGCTTCCAAAAAAAGAAAGTTACCCATTCTGCAGCGAAGTTCTCAGACAGTATGGTGGAGTGCCCGAAGGACAGAGGCAGTGCCAGGCCAAGCAGTATACTTGCTGGATTCCTTGGACAGGTGTCCTAACTTCTTTGCATCTTAGTTTCTTTATTTGTAAAATGGATGAAATAGCATATAAAAGATGCCCAATTTAGTAATGAATGAAGGACTTTTGTAAATAAAGAACTGTGGCCAATTCCTGGTGGAAGAAAAATAGCTAATAAAGGTTACCTGTTTTTATAATATGATCAGAGAGAAATGGAGAGTCTGCTATGGTATCACGAGTGGAGAGTTCACCAAGAACTAGGTGGCTCTAACGGCATCCTTGCAATTGGACAGTAAAGTTAGATAACTAACTATAACTATAAAAGAAGAATGTGAAAAATATTACTAGTAGTTAAAGTTCAAGGTACCCTTAGAAATCAGGAAATACAAGCCAAGGTCGTCGCAATCATTTCAGCCTTTCTTTAGTTAGAGGTGCTCCTGATGATGTACTAAATCTTCTAGTGTATATACACACCTGTGTGTGTTTGTATGTGGACTATTTAAAGCATTTTAGGAATATTTATACCAAACAATTACTTTTTCCTTCCTCCTGGGTCAAGCTTAAATTTTTTGTTATATTACTCTTAGTTTTGCATACCTGAATGGTTATTTTTCACGTGGTAGGCAGTAGCAGAAATCTGGGTGGTGAGTTAAAAATGTAATTTTCCATGGCTTCTTAAAAAACACTTGTTTACATTTGACTGTAAGATACATGCATGTTTTTGACAGTTGCTTCCTCCTAAATTGCATAAGCAGGATATATTAACACTGCAGTTTTTTACTTTTTTGCTTTCACGGTTTAAAATGGTTTTCCTCCTTATTGTGTTTCAAACTTCACAAACTTATCTATGCAGCACTATCTTTATTAATATTGAGAACATACCTACCCCATAAAGGACTATGCTATTTTACTTCACCTTAGAATTGATAATGTTGTACAGTAGTATAGCGATACAACTGTATTGCTTATAAGTTGTTAATGAATAAATGTGCAGTGCTTATATAGTGTGTTATGTTTAAACCTCTGTAACTAATTTTCACATTATGTAATAGACTCAAGTATTATTTCTGCCTTTAAAAATGCTGGGAAAGAAAGTAATGGATATTTGAGTGTACTAAAAATTCTTTCTTTAGATATATATAAAATGTTCATCTCACCACATTAATTATTGGGAAATAGTTTTAAATGTAGTAAATGAAGTTTAAGTCTATTAATGTGTTTAGATTTATATAAAATTCATATAATTGAAGTACGTTTATAATATAAATAATTGATTTTAAAATTATAAATGTAAACTATGTGATTTAGATAAGATTAATATTTTATTTACCAGTTATTTCTTAATAAAATCTCCTTTGAAATTGATTTATTATGATCTCACCACTACATTTGTAAGGTAAATAGTTGCTTTCTTCTGCTTTTAATTTACAGCCAAAGATGATGGAAGCATCGCCGTTGCCCTTGGTTACACCGCACATTTGGTCTCCATGATTTCCTTTTTCCTGCAAGTGCCCCTCAGATACCCTGTCATTCACAAGGGGTCTAGGTCAACAATCAAAGACAATATCAATGACAAGCTGACAGAAAAGGAAAGAGAGTGAGTATCTTTTTAAAATATACTTTTAGCATCAAGCTACTGTGAAACATGGAATAGATTAAAAATATAAAATGTGACCTAGAGTGTGGAAATTTTTATATATCCTTTGTAAAGCTCTGTTTCTTTTAAATAGAGTGTAGCCATTTGTTTAGATGATAATGGATCAACTCCTGTACTTGTTAAAATTGCTAATGATAGCAAAGTTGACTCATTTAAATTTAATTCATTTTTGTGAGGACAATTATAATAACTGCAAATATTCGTGTAGTACCTGTTTCCTATTAGTCACCAAATAAAAGAAGTAGAAGATTTGTCAAAAAGACAACCAGGAGAAGGACAAGAGACTTAACATGAGATTGTACATATCTGAGTAATGGGTTAAAAAAAAGCAAAAGAGATGAATTGTATAGAAAAGTGCCAGATGTGAAAGACACAACCAAAAGGACTAATACACGAGACAAATAATTAGAGTCACAGAGAAGGAGAGTAGAGCATGTAGGGTAAACAATATTTTAAGAGTTAATGACAGAATTTTTCAAATTGATTAAAAACATCAAACTACAGATTCAAGGAGCATTAAATACAATAGAAAATAAGTATAAAGCCAAAATACTAAGGGAAATTACTGTGAAATAGCTGCACACCAAATACAAAGTGAGAATATTTAAAATACCTAGAGAAAAAAGACAGATAAAGCATCTAAAGAGCAATAATAAGACTAAAAGCTAATTTCTCAATAGAAACATTGGGAGCCAGAAGGTAATGCAGTGATATTTTAAAAGTACTGTAAAACAATATTCCCAATTTAGTATTTGATATTCACTGAATAGATCCTGCAAAATGCAAAATAAAAGCATTTCAAACTGTCAGAACTGAGAAAAATGCACATCGGCAGATCAATGCTCAGGGAAGTTATCTAAAGGCAAAATAAAAATAATCTTGCACAGACATTTGGAATGAAAGAAGAAACAGAGAATATCTAAGTTAGTTTTGACTAAAAACAAATAGTAATATCTCATTAAATATAACATACATATGCATAAAATGCATTCAGAATTGTAATGCATAACTAACAAAGTTTAGAAGTGGAAATGGTAAAACTGATGGAGGCATAGGTGGACGCACTGTACCTCCACGCACAACCAAGGTTAGAACAACAATTTAGAGGCAAAATAACACCCAGAACTGATAGAGAATTTATCTGAATGGAAGTCGGACAGCCAAGAAGTTGAAGTAGACCTGTTCATCCAGACCGGTAGGAGGGGCGGAGATGAGCTCGGGTCGCAACGCGTGGAATGCGGGGAGAGCTGGGCACCTAAGGCAACTGGGAGCACGTAAGCCATCCGGGGCATGCAGCGGGTGGACCCTGAGTACGCAAGCGGCAACTGGTGGACCCAGTGAGGCTGCGATTGTGGACCAGGGCAAAGCGCGCAGCCCAGGATCCCAGGGAAGGGACTGAGATTCCAGGAGAGTGGGGCTGCCACCCCTGCCCCCGCCCCCACAGACAACGTCACAATCTAGCGACTGGGGTGCCCAGCCCCAGTGAACACCTAAGACTCCACCCCTCACCGTAACAGGGGCAACTAGACCAAAAAAAAGAGAGAGAGGGAGAGGGAGACATGTCTCAAACAGAAGAACAGATCAATGCCCCAGGACTCAACCTTTTGAGCGACCGAGAGATAGCCAATCTATCAGATGCACAGTTCAAAACACTGGTGATCAGGAAGCTCACAGAATTGGTTGATTGTGGGCGCAAATTAGATGAAAAAATGCAGGTTACCATAAAAGAGATGAAGGAAGATGCACAGAGAACCAACAGTGATGGGAAGGAAACGGACTCAAAACAATAGAGTGGACCAGAAGGAAGTAAAAAAAAACAAACAGGAGACAATGAAGAAATAAGAATTCAAAAAAACGAGGAGAAGCTTAGGAACCTCCAGAACATCTTTAAATGTTTCAACATTCAAATTATAGGGGTACCAGAAGGGGAAGAGGAAAAGCAACAGATTGAGCACGTATTTGAACAAATAATAAAGGAGAACTTCCCCATTCTGGCAAAGGAAATAGACTTCCAGGAAATCCCGGAAGCTCAGAGAGCCCCAAAGAAGTTGGACCAAAGAAGAAACACACCAAGGCACATCATAATTACATTAGCCAAGGTAAAAATGAAGGAGAGCATCCTAGAAGCAGCAAGAGATAAGGGGACAGTCACCTACAAAGGAGTTCCCATCAGACTGTCAGCTGATTTCTCAAAAGAGACCTTACAGGCAAGAAGGGGCTGGAAAAAAATATTCCAAGTCATGGAAGACAAGGACCTATATCCCAGATTACTCTATCCGGCAAAGCTTTCATTTAGAATGAAAGGGCACAGAAAGTGCTTCTCAGATAAGGTCAAGTTAAAGGAATTCATCATCACCAAGCCCTTATTTTATGAAATGTTAAAGGGACTTAGAAAAGAAAATAAAGAAAAAACTAGTAAAAGGACAGCAAACTCACAATTATTAACAACCACACCTAAAGCAAAACCAAAAGAAACTAAGCAAACAACTAGAACAGGAACAGAACCACAGAAATGGAGATCACATGGAGGGTTAGCAACAGGGGAGTGGGAGGAGGACAGAGGGGGAAAAGGTACAGAGAATAAGTAACATAGATTGTAGGTTGAAAATAGATAGAAGGAGGGTAAGAACAGTATGGGAAATGTAGAAGCTAAAGAACTTACAAGTATGACACATGGACATGAACTAAAGGGGGGATATGGGTGGGAGAGGGTGTACAGGGTGGAGAGGAGTGAAGGGGGGAAAATGGGACAACTGTAATAGCATAATCAATAAAATATATTTAAAAAAAGTGGTAAAACCCTAATTTATACTAGACTCTAATAGATCAAGAATACATGTTATTATCTCATAACCACTGAAAGTTATTTTGTCCAAGCAATAATATTAATAGAGGAGATAAATGGAGAAGTATTTAAATACTTGATTAATCCAAAAGAAGGCAAGAAAAGAAAGGAAAATGTACATTAATTTCAAACCAAAAACAAATAGTAAATTTGTAGATGTGAACCCAAACTTATCCTATAATTACATTAAGTATAAATGTTATTAATAAATATTGTCAGGCTGAATAAAGAAACTACATTTATTCTGCTTTCAAGAGATACCTCAAATATAAGGACACAGCAATATTGAAAATAAAAAAGTGACTAAAGACATATTATACAAATATTACCCAAATGAGAGTGGTAGAACTACGCCATATCAGATAAAGGGAAACTTAAGGCAATTTAAGTAAAGTGGGTCACTTTATGATAATACAGTCAATTCTAAATACATATATGCCTAAAACTATAATTTCAAATGTATAGACCAAAGTTAACAGAACTACAAGGAAATCGATAGTCATAGCAGAGGACTTTACATTTTCTTTCTTAAACTAGAATTAACTACCAGAAAGTAGAAAGACAAAAAATAAAACCCCAGAATCTAAAAGACCTGAGCAGTACAATCAATAAACTTGATCTAAGTTATAGATAAAGAATATTGCACCAGAGTTTCAGGATGTACATTCTTTTCAGGTACCCATGGAACATTCAAAAAGATTAAAATAATTCACTTTATGTTTACTGACCACAGTGGAATTTACCAAAAATCAATAATAAAATCCCCAAATATATGGATGGTAAACAGTATCAAAGGAGAAGTTATAAAGGCAGTTTGAAATTATTTTGAACTAAATGATAACAAGAATATACCATGTGAAACCTTGTACAGTGCAGCTAAATCTGCGCTCAGGGGGTCATTTATACCCTCAAATGCATATATTAGAAAAAAATGATTTAAAAATTAATCATCTAAGTCTCCTTCTGAAACAGCTAGAAAAGGAAAAGTTAGTTAACCTCTAGGAAAATAGAATGAAGGAAATAATAAAAGCAGATATTAAATCCATAGTTGTATGTTGGAAAAAATTATATAGGCCAAAGTTCTATTCTGAAATAACTAGAACTTGATAAGCCTTTAGAAAAACTATTTAGAAAGAGAAGAGAGGCAAGATAGCTAATGTAAGTGAAGAAAAAGAGATGGTATTACAGATATACAGACATTAAAAAATAAGGTCTTATGATCAATTTTATATAAATAAGTTTGAAATTCAAATGAAATGAATAAATTTCTAGAAAAACACAACTTCCCACAACTGGAATGTGAATGATGGGAGTCCAGAAAGCCTTACACTTGGCTAGAGGGAAGCGATACAAAATATTCAGGGTAAGTTATTCTCAGTCCTGGCTGCACATCAGTGTCATCCGGAGAGTTTTGAAAATGAGCTTCTGACTGCCAGGTTCTTGGCCTCTCCCCCAGAAATTCTAATTTAGTTGATGGGACCCAGGTATGAGTTAACTTTTTTAAAGTTCCTGGAAGTGATTCTTATGTGCAATAGAGTTGAGATCCACTGTTGTAGAGTAAGAGATTGTCGTGTTCGTGGGCATGAAGAAATGGAAGTCCCCCAGTATATTTAACAAACTGCAAGAGGAAAGGCAGAAGAGGCAGGCCCCAGTGGGATGATTTAGCAGTATCTGTGGTGAGACTATGACTCAGCGTGGCAGTGGGGGGTGGGGAAGCACATTATGGTATAAACCAGTGCCTTTTTAAAGATACTGATTTATCAGTTTAGAGCCCAAGTATTCTTTTTAATGTTAAAAACATTCAGAGAGAGCCTGAAATGTATATGTTTGACAGAAGGAGACATGAGTATTTTTTCTCTTTTTAAAAAATTGAGGGTAAATTCACATAAAATTGATGTTTTTAGTGTACAGTTCAATGGCACTTAGTATACTCACAGTGGTATGCAACTACCAACTCTCTCTAGTTCCAAAACAGTTCATCACCCCCACAGAAAACCTGCCCCCATTACACAGTTACAGCCGGGTCCCTCGCCCAGCACCTCAGCTCCTTGGCCCCTGACAGCTGTGGTCTGCTTTCCGTCACTGGATTTACTGA